CTCTCTCTCTCTCTCTCTCTCTCTCTTTCTTTTCCTCCCTTCCTCCTCGTTCTGTCTCGTCATCTCTTACTGTCCGGTGTCTCTCCGTTTAACCCGTACGTGCTCCGTGATTTCGAGATCTCGTGCGTCTCCACGGGCTCTGTTGCCGAGCGCTCAGTAATAGACCGGAAATCATGTGCGTAAGTCTGCCGTAGTCTGTCATTTTCGCGCCGGGTCGTCTGATTACGTGTGTGTCCCGTCATCATCATTATCATTATCATCATCGTCGCCGTCGCCGTCGCCGTCGCCGTCGTCGTCGCCGTCGCCGTCGCCGTCGTTGTCGCCGTCGTCGTCGCCGTCGTTGTCGCCGTCGTTGTCGTTGTCGTCGTCGTCGTCGTCGTCGTCGTCGTCGTCGTCGTCGTCGTCGTCGTCGTCGTCATCATCGTCATCGTCATCGTCGTCGTCGTCGTCGTCGTCGTCGCCGAGCGCGCGAATCAGCAGTGGTTTCGCTTAGTGGTTCGGTCGTTTCGCGATACGTTACTGGCCCGTCTGTGCGCGAAAGAACGAAGAGAGAAAGCCTCGGGTGTGCGTGTGAGGGCAGTGATCTCTCTCGGAGAGCGGCGACCTGACGGTACGAACGAGCCGACGGTGAGGATATATATGCGTCGACGTTGCTCTCTCTTTCACCTAACCTACCAGCGCAAAACGATTCTGCGGATCGACGGACGAATTCTCCGCGGTTGGATGTAACTCGCTTCGTTGTCCCATTCGAGGATCCGAGGATCGTGATTAAACAAGGTAAAAAAGACATTCAGAACTTAATGTACATTGCTAGTGTCGAGAGGAAATCGCCGACACGCGTTGCGACCACGTATGCACTCCGATTGCTCAGAAATTAATTTATAATTCGGATATGAATAAACAAAAGCGACAAATTAGTAGAAATTTGATATCACAGATATCGGTATACGAGACTCGTTGAAGCTACAAAATACGGCTGTTTGTGCAGTACGTCGTAAAGTTTCAAATAATCACAAACGTTTCGACAAAACCTGACCGTCAGTCCTAGAGTTTCAGTGTAATTAATTTCAAATTCTTCTGATACTCTTTATAAAAAATGACGCGATTAAGATTGAAAGTCGCGAACAGTCGAGTCTTAATTTTGCCTAAATTATATCGAATTCAGAGATTACAGATTTCCCACTGACTCCACTTTTCTGTCCAATTTATGTTAATTCAAATTAATTTTCATCTCTCGTTACTTATTCGTTACGCCGCGTATTGTCTTATCTCGCAAAATGATTTGCGACGTAAAATGAAAAACGAGAATCGTATAGGATTACAATTGTCTGCACATGATTGCGATCTAAATAACGACATTGGCGCCGCGCAAGAATGGAACACCCACACGATACCTGCGTTTGTTCTTCGTTGCAGAAAAGTGCAATTTGAGAAACGGACGATACTTTAAACGGCTCTTCCAAAAGAGAAGTGAAAATTGCCGATAATTAGTTATTTTTTTTAGATTGTGGCGGAATATTATCAGCGTACTCGATCATATTTAAGGTTAAAGAAATCGGTGCAGTGATAGAGCAGAGGAATGCGGAGCGAGCGAACAGTCTCCTTTAGGCCTAACGAGATCGTAAACCGCGGTAAGTCACAGTCGCGCGCGCCCCTTTTGTCGCGACTTCGCGACCTCGGCTTTGAACTCTCTCTTCTGTTCGTCTCAGATATGACTGGCGATTCACGCTTCATAAATTAATTAATTAATAGTTTTCTAATGATCCAATTGTATTCGCAATTTTCCATCTTGCGATTGTACACGAAGCGAAGCTCCTTGGCTATCGCTATTTCGGATTGGCATTATCTGTTTTCAATCGCAGCAGAATTTTTTATTTAATTTTCTTCTTATTTTCGCTGGCGCTATATTTAATCGCATTATTCGCGATTCCGTTGAAGCGTTAAATCACTGATGATGCCACCATTTTCTTGCGTTCCTAAGGTTTTCATTTTGGGCGGAGCCTTCTGCTGCAACCGTTGGAGAATTTTTCCAGCGTTTCAATGGGCCGACTTACCTGTGAGAGGAAGAGAGAGAGAGAATGCATTTCAAATCGACCGTCGTATCGTGTATCAAACGCAACCATGGCTTACACATTTGCCGAGTTTTTCGCGTCTTCAGTTTCGGCTTTACATCCGTCTACATTACGCGGTGCAGATGCATCCGCACGCGTTCACCTAACAGTGCGGGCATATCTGTGGAACCAGCCGAACCACGACCCTTTCCCCCTTTGGAAGTTTTTCATCGTCGGTCCTTCATTGGTCGGGACCCAAATGAGAATTTTTCCGACGCAGTCGTTTGGCCCTGCCCCCTTCACCGTGCGTTTCCTTCCCAAATGGCGGCACGGTGCATTGCATTTCGACGATGCAACAAGCATTTTTATTTATCCTTGAACTGCTCTTTAAATTTATGCTGTCTGTTCGTTTCCAATGTATACATAATACCTCGAGGTGCAGTTCTACTCCAAAGAGAAACATCAAATATCTTTTAAATGAGAATTAACAAAAATAATGTTATTTTAAGAAATGGAAATGGTGCATATAAAAAAGAAAATTGGAAGATTAAATCTAAAACAATTATTATATTTTAAAGTTATTGATTTTGATATATGTATTGTAGAGAGAGAGTGCATCTTTTGATCCTCCAATAATTGCCAAGAAATTAAACTATTTTATTTATATATTCACAAGTGTGTTCAAAGCCAAGTTTTGGTTTCAGTATGCACTTCTCTGTATTTTGCTTTGTTTATTTGTTGACAGAAATGTTTCGTTATTACTCTCTTCAATGTATTTTTACCGTCGTTTATTTTTTAGCGTAATTATTGTATCGTTTTTCTTTCCTGTTAAATGTATAATAAATTGATGAAGTGGTTTATTTGTAATCCAATGGTTAAAATGTTTTTTTGATACTATTTGACAAATTCTGTAATTTGAAATGGATTACAGCACTTAAAATGTTTATAGATTTAAGTATTACTTTGATTTTGCATTTTTTAGTTGTTTATTCATGTTTCATTTTTAATGTCTTCTTGTATAGATTTATTCAGCTGTTGGCGTAATGATTTTTTATTAGTTGCTTGTAAAGTTAATGCTTCGATATTTTTTATTACGATAAAATATTAAATTTGCCAATCTGTCAGTGAAAGAATATCCGATCCTTCAGAGGCTCTATATACAGGGTGTCTTGTTAACGGAAAGCCTCTTAAGGATTCAAAAATAATTTGGAGTGGATTTTTTTGCACGGATATATCGGGAGACATTGTTGTTTTTTGCAATTTTCCAGTATTTAACATAAATTTTAAAACAACCTTTAATATCTTCATAAAGAAAATAACTTTAGCATAAATTTAACATAAAAATAAAGTCTGCTTGTAATTAGAATGACGTTTTTTATAACAACAAAAAAATTAATAGAAGGCTATAAGAACTAAAGCGTGGATGTTAGGTGATCATAAACAAATTTTTTTGTTATCCATTAATTAATTTCCTACTTATAATTAATTGAAGAATATAACTTTGTTATCTAACTTTTATAACTTATTGTTAGTTTCTAAAAAAATGTCCCTATTCTCAACTGCTAATCATTTAAAAAAGTATTAATGCTGAATTTTCGTGCAGGAAAAAATTGACTGTAAACTAGTTTCCGAAGTCTGAAGATTTTAAGAGAATTTTTATTAATAATGGAAAACTTTATATACACATACGATCGATTAGATCTTTTTATATAATTCGAAAATGACATTTTTTCACTGTTTCATTGGCGCAGTCGGAATCCAAGTCTCGTGCGAGAGCCATTCTCTGTCTATGGGCTGTCTAGCCGAGGACGAGACAGACAGATGGACGTATGGGTACTCTATCCCCGGAGAGGTCCTCCACGAGAGCTACACGGCACATGCGTGCTGCTTCCCATATTTATGCGTGTGTGCGTGCCTGAACGCAGGTGTGCGCGACTCTTTTCTTCGTATGTTGCGTACGAATTGTTCGAGTTTGCAGAAGAGAGTTGCGTTCTTCTGCTTAAAGTACATTTCCGCAAAACAAGCGGATGCACTTCAGTTTGCAGCGCAATAGCATATTTCTTTTGCTTTCTTCCCACTATAAAAATTTTGTAAAAATTCTTCAAAAGCTCTCACGCGAGACTATCCAGGCTTATTGGAGTTGGAAAAGTTTCGTTTCCGATACAATGTGCATTAGCGGACACTCCCTCTGTCTTTCTTGGAATTTATCCAAAATATTTTGAGGACAAAATTACTCTCTTACACTCGCGCATATCGCATTGTATAACATTCAATCCATGCTTTTACACGTTGTTCCACTAATGGCGATATATCAAGCTGGAGTTGAAATAATTGGGGAGTAATAATTAAGTTACGCGTCCTTAGCTTTCCGCAAAAGGAGAGTCTTAATAATCAAGCAGGAAGGATTATCGTATATGTGGGAGTATGGCTGGGTTCGATCGCGGCGGAAAAGACGCGCGCGCGCGCGCGCGTATGTGTGCTATGTGTTTTGATACTTGTATGAGGCATATGTGTTGCGTGCGCACACATGCAATCAGGACGGAGGAGGGTAAAATCAGCGAAGGCTGCTTCTTATTGTCTGCGCCTTGTCTACGCAACGTGTATTTTCCCCTTCCTCTCTCTCTCTCTCGCTCCCTTTCTTATACACAAGCAACCCACGTTCATGCGTTTCGCACATTGGTGTAAGGCCTATACATACAAACTTTCCACAAAATTACACTTTTACTTTGAAAGTAAAGCTAATCTACCAATTTCTCGATTGACAGATATACGTGTATGTTACATCTGAAAGAAAAGTTCAGCAATCGAAAAAAAATCTTAAGCTTTGCAAAACACTTAAATAAATCTAATTGTCATCTAGCTATTTTTTTTTGGTGTTAATAGAACAAAAGTTCTTTTGCTTAAAGCGGAATGAGAACACTGTTTAAAGAATCAAACGTTTCGCTTTCTTCGCTAATGTCTCTAAAATAATTTCTACATTTGTAGATCGCCGCAATTAAAGAATCGATGGTACAGTCATATCTTTCTTCATCTAAAGTTTTTTAACGTTTTATAGAGTTGCGGAAATTTGCATGCTACAACTTCGAATCAAATCGATAAATTGTTATTGATCGTGATCGTGATCGTTGGCAAATTGCTCGAATAACTAGATAAATCTATACTTTATTAACAAATTATCCGCGAATTTTGCTAGAATCGAAGAATTCAAATAATTCGCGCGCTTTTTACCCGCCCCCTTTCCCTTATCACTCTCTCTCTCTTTCTCCCTCACCCTCCTCCCACCCACCCTCCTTTCCTCTCTGCCCCCTCAACTTGCGCGCGCACACGCATCACGTTTTCACGAATGATGCACATCCGAATGGGACAGTAAGAAAAGATGGGAGGGAGAAACAGAGAGAAGGAACGGGAGAGTCCCTTGCGTCCGCGGGGCTTCGGTGTCAACAGGTTTTATTTTTACCACCGCAAAAGGCCAAGGTCCTCTCTTGCCCCTACCTACGGCGGGGCCCTCCCTGCTCTGTTCTCAGTCTCTCCGATCTCACAGTCTCCCCAGTCTCGCAGCTTCTTAGCCTGCCAATCTCCTGCCGCTCCGGCGAATAGTCCCTTCCGATCGCATTCGGCAACGACGACGAGAACGACGACGACGACGACGACGACGACGAGGACGAGGACGAGGACGAGGATGATAACGATGACGGCGACAATTCTACAGAGCGAGAATACTCTCATGGGATTGTTATGAAGAAGCTTCTGGATTAATAATCCGTGCCGCATGACAGAATACGAGCTCCGATCGGATGGAAGATTCCGCGTGCCCCCCGGGAACATTGCGTGACGAGCAACTACGTTGCCGTTCTATCCGCCGCCATTTATCACGAAGAGATTTACTCCTCGACGAACGAGACGAACGACTCTCTTATGAGCGCAACGCCGCGACAAACATTCCGAAAACTTCTTTCTTCAATAAAAGTCGGAGATAATAGTCGATGAATCGAAAAAAGAAAAATCCTTTTTTAAGTTATTGAAAGTATACTTCTGACTCTGTGTGTGTGTGTGTGTGTGTGTGTGTGTGTGTGTGTGTGTGTACGCGCGCACGCGCGCATATGTGTATGTGTATATGTACACACAGTATACATATACAGTACACATATATATTTTTCATTTAATCGTTCACTTGCCGCTTTTTATTCGAGGCGATTAATCTGCCCGCGAAAGGGTCGAAGCGTTCCTCGCAAAGACCATAATCTCTCGGTAAATCGTTCCACGTCATGTACGCTGCGAGAGCACATCGCGCTAAGTTACGGAAGCATGGCGATAAATTCCCAAGAAGAAGAAGAAGAAGAAGAAGAAGAGAAGAGAAGATGCAGCCACAGCCTCCCGTAGCTACGACGTCGACAACGCAACATTGGCGGCCGGCCGGCGTGCAGAAGGCATGCGGTGGGGGTGGCGGTTGTAGAGGAAGCTGCCACCCGAGCGAGCGAGAGAGGGAAGAGGAAAGGAAAGCGAGAGGGTGGAAGGACATTAGGGTGGGGGAGGAGGGGAGGGAGGCGGCAGCGAGTGCAGCGGCCTGGCCTTCTATATTCCGCGTGACTATAGGCGGTCCGGCTAGAGGCTAGAGTCCGTGTATAATGTATTCTCGAATATCGTGCACTCTCTCGTGATCGATATAAGCCCCGACGCGAGCCGGAGATGCACGAAGACCCGCCACCTCCTCTTCCTCCTTCTCATCCACCACCTCCTCCTCCTCCTCCTCCTCGTCCTTCTCCTCTTTCTCTTTCTCCTTTCTCCTCGGAGCAGCCGCCCGCTCCTCTTCACCCGATGTTTTTTCGCGCGGAGTGCAACGCACGCCGGATCGCGACGCGCGAGAACTGCATCAGGTCTCTTTCTCTCTCTCTCTATCCATCCATTTTTTTTTTCTTTCTCTCTCCCTCTCTCTCTCGATTATCCGTGACAATAGAAGCGCAGAGGGAGAATACCTGCTGCTGGCTGAAACGAAGGGAGAAAGCTGGAAGAATGAATGTATAATCTGTTGAGAATCATCTAAACTCTCCGGTATATTAAAGAATAGCGCGCTCTTGTTCGATCCGACCGATCAATATAGCGGATCAATATAACAATGCTTGTACGATTCAAGCGTGTAACTGACCGATTAAACAAGCGGCTGCTTCCTATTCGAAGGAAGTTGTTCGCAAAAATTGGCACTTTAATTTTTCTTAGTAAATTTGAAAAGCATTCATTAATATAATTGAGTAAATATTTAAACTAGTGTTATCAACAAAGATCAGGCCTTGTTTATACCGGACGGAATCACGCTTCAATAGGCGTGGGAGAATTATTTACTAAGAACTTTACCGAAGAAGTCGACCGCTGACACGTGCTATTTTTTCCCCTTCTCGCAAGTGTGTACGGCGGGAACCAGTAGCGTTGCATTAATTAGTTTTATTATTATTATAAAAACTCGCTATATCTAATTAATTAAATATGGATACAAACGCAGACGGAATCAACGAGATAAAATGCATATATTGCAAT